GATGTATAGTATTCTGGATGGATGGATGGATGATGGATGGATGGTGGATGGATGGTGGATGGATGGTGGATGGATGATGGATGGATGGATGGATGGTGGATGGATAATGGGTGGATGGATGATGGATGATGGATGGATGGTGGATGGATGATGGATGGATGGTGGATGGATGTATAGTATGATGGATGGATGGATGATGGATGGATGGTGGATGGATGATGGATGGTGGATGGATGATGGATGGATGGATGGTGGATGTATGATGGATGGTGGATGGATGATGGATGGATTGATGGATGATGGGTGGATGGTGGATGGATGGATGGATGGATGGTGGATGGATGACGGATGGATGGATGATGGGTGGATGGATGGATGATTGGTGGATGGATGATGGATGGATGGTGGATGGATGGATGGATGGATGGATGATGGGTGGATGGTGGATGGATGATGGATGGATGGATTGATGAATGGATGGTGGATGGATGCTTCCTGTGAAAGGCAGAGGTTTCAGGTAGCAGGTCTTTCTTGTGTTAGGGTTTTATTCTTACTGTTTCCTGTACTGACTTAAGGCAGGGGTGTGGTGTTTGGACTCTGTCTCTGACTTTTAAATGACTCCAGGCAGCAGAAAAGTTTCTTCTGGGCTTTTTGAAATCTCCTGCCCGTGCTGTGCTTCCCTCCCTGCAGGCCCCCACATTAACCATGGAGGGTGGTAGACTGAAGCGCTCCCTGCAGCTGGTGCCTGGCAGAGACTTTGAGACGGTGCCAGAACCCGTGTGGCGGGCCCTCTACCACTGGTACGGTGCCAACCTGAGTCTGCCGCGACCGGTGAGTGAACAACACCATCATTTTTAGGAGGGGTCCAAAACAGCCGAAGACTTCAGGATAACAAAATAAAAAGACCACTCTYAATTATTCTGACTGATAAAAGCACTTAATCTATTAGAACAGTTCCTGCAGAAACTGAGGAACCATCCTCACCTGTCAGTCGTCTGATGAATTGTTTAAAAATGCTTTCACCTTTGCTGTGATCTGGCTTTACAAATCAACTAAACAAAAAKTCCAAAGCTTCAATAAGCTGGTGGCAGCACTGTGTGCAGTGGTTCACCTGTGGCCTCACATCCAGCAGGTCGTAGGTTTGTCTTCCGGTGCTCCCAGTAGTCGTGTTTCCATCCAGTTGTAGAGTTTTATCGAACTTTTCAAAATTCGCAAAAAATTAAATAAATACAAATACAAATTCGAATCTAGACTGTTTCCATCTAGTTTCCCTCTCGACTGTTTGATGCGAATAAACGAGGCTACGCAACACGTGATTATGTCAGACAAGGCTACGCAACGTGTGATTACATCAGACGAGGCTACGCAACGCGTGATTACGTCAGACAAGGCTACGCAACGTGTGATTACATCAGACGAGGCTACGCAACGCGTGATTACGTCAGACAAGGCTACGCAACGTGTGATTACATCAGACGAGGCTACGCAACGCGTGATTACGTCAGACAAGGCTACGCAACGTGTGATTACATCAG